CTTAATGTTGGAATATTTTAACCATTTTTGAAAACCAAATCCAAAAATGATTTGCAGGCATATCAAATACGCAGAAAAACATCAATTATAAAACTATTTAAGCATAAATGTTCGGAAAACGAAATGAAATCTCAAAATGAAATACAATTACGGGATATAATCTACCTCCCACTTCCCTCTACGCCACCTCGAAGAGCCTATCAATGTCATTATGTGAACATAAAAGGAAAATTGAATTAATGAAAAAAAAAAAAAAAAACAAACAAAATAACGAAAACATTAAACGATGCTGGACAGACGGACGGACGAGCGTGCTAGTTTGTTAGTCAGTTGGCTGCAATAACAACAATATTGCACGAAACTTTGCAACAAAAATTTTGTGATCTGTTCGGTTTCATGATGCTGATTTAGATGGATGTTGTTAGGCTAGTCAGTCGGCTGTATGAGTGGCGTTTAATGGCATTAGGGATGTCAACTCGAGTAGGTTTCCAAACGTATTGTCCATTCTGCATAGGTAAGTATTTTATCTGCAGGCAGGTCAAGTTCGAAGATGGGCTATATATTGGTTCACGATATCATATAACCCCCCGATATTCGATTTTTTGATGATTGTAGTCAAATTTTTCGATGGAATTGTCTAAAAATATTCACAGGGAGTTTATTCTGAGTACTTTGCACCCTGGAAGAGTATTGTCTTCCGTAATATTCCGTATTTTTATGATTTTAGCTACTTTATTTACCGGAATTGCTTCAAATTTCGTATTTGATGGATACTACAGCCTGTGACCGAAAATTGTCTATGCAGGTCCAGGTCTATGTATAGCCCCCTACAACGGTTCCTCCCTATATTCCGTATTTTGATGATTTTAGCTACATTGTTCATCGGAATCGTTTCTAATTTCGTATTTGAAGTTCCTAATTGGTACTACAGCCTATGACAGAAAATTGTCTATGCAGGTACAGGTCGTCGTATAAACCCCATATAACCTCCCTCCCTATTTTCGGTATTTAGATGATTTTAGCTACATTATTCACCGGATTTTTTTTGCAAGTCGTGTTTGAATATTGTAATGGCCTATGACAAAAATTGCTTATGCTGGTCCAAGTCCTCGTATAGACCCCAATGGCGACTTCCAATATTCGGTAATTTTAAGATTTTAACAGGATTTTTAATGATTTTTTTTTTGAAAATTTCCAAATGCATTCCAAATTATAGAGGGTATTTAGAGTTCCTCCCGTTCTTGAAGATTTATTTGACGTATATGCAATGGAATAAGATATTTCCAAAGAGTTCGCTAAATCCTGAAAACGGACTAAAAGTCCTGTTACCGGATATTTATATGCCGAAGACTTTGATTTCTTCGAAAAACTCTATTATTAAACAAGTAAAAAACATTAAGTTCGGCCGGGCCGAACTTTTAATGCCCTCCACCTTAGGGTAAAGGAAACATTAGAACCCGTTATGACCCACAAATACCAATTTTTAGACAAATCCGCGGAGAAATGTGGTAAAAATCATCAAAATATCGAATATATGGAGGTACCCCTACATGGGGTTATACCAAAACGAGGACCTATACATACAATGTTTCCTCAACGGAGCTAGAACCCATTATGACCAACAAATACTAATTTTTAAAAAAATCTGTGGAAAAAATGTTGCAAAACCCATCAAAATGCCGAATATTGGGAGGTACCGTTATATGGGAGCTATACCAAAACGTGGACCTATACATACAATGTTTCTCCACCGGAGCCAGAACCCATTATGACCAACAAATACCACTTTAAAAAAAAAAAATCTGTGAAAAAATGTTACAAAACCCATCAAAATACCGAATATCGGGAGGTACCGTTATATGGAGACTATAACAAAACGTGGACCTATACATACAATGTTTCGTCACACGAACTAGGACCCATTGTGACCTACAAATACCAATTTTCAGACAAATCCGTGAGAAAATGTGGCAAAAATCATCAAAATACCGAATATTGGGAGGTACCGTTATATGGGGACCATAACAAAACGTGGACCGATATATCTCATTTTCAATACCAACCATCCTAGACACAATACAAATTGTTCTGCAAAATTTTGACGCTCTACGTGAAATAATGTGAACTGTATTGTGATTTCAACGGACAGACGGACAGTCAGACATCAGACTGACAAATGGACTTAGAATTTTATGCTGGTTATGAATATATATACTTTATGGGTTCTACGACGAATATTTAGGGATTTAGGGAACGTAGAGCATATAAAAAAGACTCCTTGTCAGATTATATAGTACTATTCTATAAATAGACCACCTAGAGGTCTAGATGTCCTAATATAAGTCTTTCATAGATAGATATCCTTCTCCTTATTTCATTTTCTATCTTATATGAGAAAATCCCTTTTTTTCAAACTTCAACCCTACACCCCAAAAACTACATTTTATTGGCTGTCACTTTGTGTCATGTCTTCCTGTGCGTTTCATTTTTTGGCGGCCGGTGATTTGTACTGGCAAGCCAATCAACCAAACCAATCGACGTCACTTTTTTGTTGGCTTTTTTTCAAAACGCACACTTAGCTGCTGACGTTTGCGGTTGCTGGTTCGAAAAGCAATCGCACACAGCATCCGATAGACAGACAGACAGACCGACAACATAAGGAGCCAACGCAAAACTGGCTTCTATTGAATTTGAGCTTATATGGCATTAAAATAGCATTAAACAAATTATTAACTGTAATAAAATCATATTTTATGAATCACAATTTATTATGTTCGGCACGAAGTGGATGGACCGAAGACCAGACAGGCGGCAAATGTATAACATAAAAACATCAACGACGAAAAACTTTGTGAGCGTGATGTGTGCTCTCCACTGCGTGCCAGACTGCAATTCTTCTCGGCAACATCCCTTCTCCTCCCTCCTACACAGATTTTTCTCAAGCCTTGCCTACTCTACTGCCTGTCTCTGTGGCTGCCATAGAGATAATATCATGCACCAAAAATATGACTCTACTTTATCTATGCTTAGATGTCTGTCCTCTCTGTTTTGTGGCCTCATACAATGTCGAAATGAGTTTTGAGTTATTTGTTCACAATTTTAAAAATAAAAAACTGCAGCAATGCTTTCCGTTTTTTTTTTTTTTTTTTCTACGAATTTTGCATATGGTCGGGTATATCAGCGTTAGGCGAAGGCTTTAAGATTAGATCATGTGTAGTCTAAGTAAAATTATTGCATAAAATTTGATCAAAGATTTGAATTTTTATATTGCTCCGTTCTGACGAAGTTTATGGAAGGGGGAGAATGAAACAAAAGAATGTAATTTTACTATGGAAGAGATTATGTATTGCTCAAAAAATCGACTAGTTTTGCAAAAACAAACAAACAAATAAAAATACTGTAAGTACGGCCGGGCCGAACGGCCTTTGAATACCACCATTTGAAACGAAATTGGCAATTTTCAAATTTCAGAATTTTTAAAAATTCTGTTAAAATCTTAAAACTACCAAATGTAGCCGTTATATTAGGGTCTAAACAACGACGGGGACCTGCATAGACAACTTTTGTCTTATTCAAATGCGAAGCTTGAAAAAAAAATCGGTAAATAATGTAGATAAAATAATCAATATAGGGAGATACTATTATATGGGGGCTATACCAAAATAACGACCTGCACAGACATTTTTCTGACTTAGGTGACAGTATCCATTACTATCTTCAAATACCAAATTTGAAACAATTCCGGTGAATAATGTCGCTAAAATCATCAAAATACCGAATATCGGTAGGTACCGTTATATGGGGGCTATACGAAGACGTGGATCTGCACAGACAGTCTCCTAACATGGGCTGAGGTATCCATTACGAGCCTCAAAAACCAAATTTGAAACAATTCCAATGAAAAATGTCCTTAAAATCATCAAAATACCGAATATCGGCAGGTAACGTTATATGGGGGCTATACGAAGACGTGGACCTGCACAGACAGAGGTACTATTATATAGGGCCTATACCAAAATGACGACCTGCACAGTTATTTTTCTGCCTTAGGCTGCTGTATCCATTACGAGCTTCAAATACAAAATTTTAAACAATTCCGGCGAATAATGTCGCCAAAATCATCAAAATATAGGCAGGTACCGTTATATGAGGGCTATACGAAGACGTGGACTTGCAAGAAAATTTTCTGTATTAGGCTATAATATCCATTACGAACTTCAAATACCAAATTTGAAATAATTCCGATGAATAATGTCGCTAAAATCATCAAAATACCGAATATCGGCAGGTAACGTTACATGGGAGCTATACGAAGACGTGGACTTGCACAGAAAATTTTCTGTCTTAGGCTGTAGTATCCATTATGATACCAAATTTGAAACAATTCCGGTGAAAAATGTCGCTAAAATCGCCAAAATATCGAATATCGGGAGGTAACGTTGTATGGGGGCTATACGAAGACGTGGACTTGCACAGAAAATTTTCTGTCTTAGGCTGTAGTATCCATTATGAGCTTCAAATACCAAATTTGAAACAATTCCGGTGCAAAATGTCGCTAAAATCGCCAAAATATCGAATATCGGGAGGTTCCGTTATGTGGAGGCTATACCAAAATGTGAACCTACACGGCCCATTTTCAATATCAAAATTCCTGCAGACATAACATACAGTTGATTAAAATTTTATTAACCTACTTCATTTCGTTCGGAAGCTAGAGTTATTTTCACAGAGGGATAGACGGACAGACATTGCTAAATCGACATAGAATTTTATGCTGATCAAGAATATATATACTTTGTGAGTTCTAAAATGTATATTTCGAGGTGTTACAAACGGAATGACAAACTTAATATACCCTCCATACCATGGTGGAGGGTATAAAAATCCGTTATCGTAGTAAAAACTTTAACATTCTTGCAGTTCTGGAACAGACCATAGATATCATATATAAAAAACACTTCAACGCATATTTCACTTTCAAACATTTTATTTTGTTTCAGCCTGAATATTATAAAGACGCTCCACATTTCCGACGCATTGGTGAAGGCCCTGAATATCGTTTGGAAATACCATATGCCAAATTGGATTTTACCGGCACTTATTCTGTTATTGCCAGCAATTGTCATGGCGAAACAAAGGCTGTAATTTCATTGCAAATATTTGCCAAAGGTAAGTTATTAATAATTTTTTTTTTTTTTTTTCTTTTAAAAAATTACCCACACATACAAGTCTGGTGGGGAACAACTTTCCACTCATTTAAAAGATAAAAACATGGAAGTGGTGGGTTTTAAAACACAATTTTATTTATGTTTCCTATCTAATAAAAAGAGGCGATGAAAATGATTGTTTGGGATTTAGCTGGATACAGAACATTTTAGGTGTAAAGATAGTGAACCAACAAATACTCACGTTTTTCTTTCGCCCAACTTTCTGTATTGGATTCCCATATTATGATTTTGTGTGAGTGTGCGTACTCTAAATTATTTTACAATAATGCAAACAAATGACTAATTTTTATATTCCTTTAAATTAAAAATAAATCTTTGCCAAACGTGGAAATACCACCTCTTTCCAAAAATCTTCGGCTGCACTCAGTAAACTTGCCACAAATTCCATATCGGCTTGGACCCAAACATAATGTAAAGCTCCATTGGTATCAAAGGTGGGACTGAGGACACAATACAAAGCCTTGGTCACATTCGCTGTGTACATTTGTATTTGTATCTGGGCCATATATTTGGGGGCAATTGTTTCCCGACCCTCTAGGTATTTTTCAAATTCTTCATCTGTTTTGGGTGCTTTAATTTCCACAATATGATCATCCGTAATGCCATCCGGAGAGGCACATATATATGGATAACTTTCACTGATCAGCAGGCCGCATTCATGATAGGTTTTATTTTCCAGTTTCTCAGTCTGTTTCAATATGAAACGTTTGTGTTGTTTCATTTGTTGTTTATCCTCAACGTTGAAATCACGATTTTTACAAAACAGTGCCTCCAAAATCTGTTCATCTTCAATGGTATCTTTACGCGAGGCAATGCGATGTATCAGAGAACAACGTAGTCGCATGTATTGCGTCTCCAGCCAAAGGGAACTTTTATAGCAATTTTTTGAGATGGCAGCAACCCGATCAAATATCCCCTGTTTGCATTGTTCTTCCATGTATTGCAGAAATGTATTGGCATCTTTTATGCCATTATTTGTGGAATCCAAGAGGGTATGATGTATGTAAATGGGTTCGAATTCTTCGGTCACTCCTCTAAAATGTCGATATAAGGCTGCATCTTTCAAATCTTGTCCCTCCATTTCATCTAAAACAGCCTCTAGGAAGGCAGCACCTTCGACATCTGTTACAGCAGCCGCTTCTACATCACATTCCATGCGCAACTCTTCACAGGCAAAGATGTCACGTAGCCTCAGTGATTCTAAGCGACCTTCTTCCATGAGAGATTCTGTTTCATGACCCCAAAAGTCATGAACAATGGGGGTATCTGTGTCGGTACTTTTACGATGTAACCAAAATATTAGGGTCAGGATGTGAGGACATGATTCTGTTGAAGAAAAAGGAAACAATAAGAAAATTATAAGAACTTCTTTAGTTACTTTATGAGAATAGAATATAAATGAAACTAAAGACTAACTTTTTATGCTCGGCAATTTTAGAGAAATCCATCCATTTAAAATAGGTTATAGGAAGAAAGTTGGAAATAATAGATTTTAGCAAAGTCCGACATAGAATATTGCCATGGTCAAGATAATATATTCTTGATGAAAATGGAAATTGTCACCCACAACTTAAAAGCGGTTAGGAAAATGTGAGGAGTGTATCGTTATTTAAGTGTTTCATATTCATTGATAATAGAAAATTTGCTTCAGCACGTTCCTCTGTATCAACAATGTTGTGGAGGGGCCTTTCCATCTATGATATGTTGTATTTTAAACGTTCGGAAACAATTTCGCTTTCCTCTGTATCAACAATGTTGTGCAGGGGCCTTTCCATCAATGAAATGTTGAATTCTAAACGTTCGGAAACAATTTCCCAAAACCTTAAGTTGGAACCCTTTTTAATGATGCCACCATAAAACAGTTGGATTTGTGAACTACAGTTGTCTCAAAATACTGGTAGTTTTCTACTAAATTTCCAAAAATTTCGAGCACTCCATGCAACATAATTTATTGTCAACAATATCTGGATTTGTGAACTACTCGGGTCCCGATATACTGATAGTTTTCTACTAATAAATTCATACTAAATTATTTGTTTCCTTATCATAATGGCTACCTACCCTTTCCCAAGCACCGGTCACACACTGATTCCGTAATAGCTTGTTTTTTGGTATCAACTTTAATGCTAACACGCACATGTCCCTCCACCCGGGAAGCCAATGCTGTTGCGGCGGGAAACACCAATGCCTTGACATCAGTCTCTTCCGCCAGACGGCGTATCTGCACGTAATCCACACGTAGATCAGCATCTTGCGTCTGTTGCCTAACGAAAACAGAGAATTTCGATGAGAAATCACAGTCAAAATATTATTTTATTTACCTCGTCAGATTCTGTTGACCCTTGGCTACTTTTGCTATGAAATCGAACACCGTTTGACTATTTACGGTTGGTAAATTGTTTATATCGGCCTTGCGGAACCCCGGTTCCAAATCAACGTGCATTATAATCATTTTGTTCGAATTTTTTTGGGGTTTTAATGTTTATTTGTAGAATCAAACAAATTGTAAAAATAAGCCGTCAATTAGTGATGGCAAACAAATGTGAGGCATTTCGATTACATAATATCGAGACGTTGCCAACTAACAACAATCAGTTATCGATATAATTGTTGTTCATATTCGGTTCATGTCATTGTTTATATCATGCTCTCACGGGCTATTGCTCAAAATTGTGTGTTCTCAGAAATACGTGCACGAAACGTTGGAGGAGAGAAATATTAAAGAGGAATTTGTAATTTAAAGGGATGAGAGAGCGTGGAGTACAGCAAAGACAGGGAGAGAGAATGAGAGATATAAATATAAGTGTCAAGAATTTTATACAGTGGTTACTGCAAAGAACTGTTTATCATTCACAAAAAGAAATGACCAAACGAACGAACAAAAGAATCTAGTGAATTATGTTATTATTAATGTCTTACTTTAGCAAATCTGTAGAACATTTTATTTGAAGAAAACATGGACTGTAATACATTTCCCATCTGGAGAAATGATTGTTCATTCACTTACGTTTATCTGGTTTAGCTGAATTGCTTGTGGTTTGTGTCTGTAATAGACACACCAATTAATTTTTAGTCAATCCCGGCACACATACCACAAGCATGAGTTGCCAACTACAATTAAACAGTATTTCTTTATCTTAGGTACAGAGTTGTATTTTGATTATAAGTAGTCACTATAATGTTGTTTGTAGGATTTAATTTTAAATAACATGTAGATGTACCGCGCATCAATTAACGTAGTATTAATAACAAAAGAAACATAAATATTAAAAATTAAATAATATTCTCAAAAAAAAAAAAATACTCCTAATTTTTTTTGAAAAATTTCAATAAAATGTTGGAGCGAATAGCCCCTAAAAGTATGCTAAAAATTCCAACCGAGTTACCCTATCAGTTATTAATTTCAGGTTCTCAGTAAAAATCCTACTATTTTCAAATGTCTTAATCCATTTTTTGTCCCCTTTCTCCTTACAGACATACTCAATCAAAAACAAATGGAGAAGGGATCAATACGACATGGGTAGGTACTTCAATACGCCCTCCGCTGCAACATGAATAATTTCTAATCCCCTTTTCAGAAACGTTGAAACTTTGCCACGCTTTATACGCTCCCTGAGAAATCTTCGCTGCTGTGATGGTGATGCCATAACTCTGGAAGCCCATGTGGAAGGTTTGCCCGAACCAATTATCATATGGGAAAAGGATGGACGTGTACTGCCCAGTGGCAAGGATTATGATATGACTTATGATGGCATTAAGGCCACGCTGCGTATACCGCGCATCTATCCCGAGGATGAGGGTGAATATACCTGTGTGGCAAAGAACAACATTGGCAGGAATCTGTCATCGGCCTGCATAATTGTTGATGTGCCCGAGGAAAAGGAGAATATGGTCAACCGCCAATTGTCACGTCCGGCTGCCTTGCTCTCCACTTCTTCGACACCATTGTCTACGCCACGCTCCACACCTGTGCGCAGTTTTTCGCCTTCACGACGTTTGTCGTATCGTAGTTCGGGTATTGAAATAAACGACAGTCGCCGTAGTTATCATGAGTTGCATTTGCCCATATCTGCACCGAAATTCTTGGCCATTCCAAACAGTCGAGTGGTCGAAGAGGGTGACAGTGTACGCTTCCAGTGTGCCATTGGTGGCCATCCAACGCCATGGGCCACCTGGGATAAGGATGGTTTAATTGTAACACCCACGGGACGCATAAGAGTCAAAGAGGTGGATGATTTGCGTTACTTGGAAATAGAAGATGTCAGCTTTGACGATGCTGGCCTTTATCGTGTGACCTTGGAAAATGATTATGGTCGCATTGAGGCCACGGCCCGTTTGGATGTTATACGCAGTTCACGTTATTCCAAATCCCCTTCGGGTAGAAGTATAAGAGCCTCATCCTCACGACGCAATGCCTATTTGCATAGACGCATAATGGGTCCCTCAACGGCCATTGGAGGCCGCATGGCCCTGGCTGCAGGCTTTAGAGGCTCCTCCGTACCTTCGTGTAAATTCTATCACAATGGCCAGGAATTGGTGGCCAACGAAAGGATACACATGCAACTTTTGGAAAATGAGGGCGAGGTATTCCTGGTCATCGATTCGGTTACCAAGGAGGATGAGGGCATTTATTGTTGTGTTATTGAGGGTGAGGACCATGAACCGATTGTAACCTCAACTGTGGTTGAATTTCTGCCAAGTGAAACCAATGGCGACATCGATGACGGCAGTTGTGGTGACATACGCACCAGCGCCAGCATTGAAACCATTTGTAAAATCGTTAAACCACTGCCAGATGCGGTGGACTGCAGCGAAGGTGAAATCATTGATTTGTGCTTTGAATTGGAATGCAACCAGCCCTACAGCTACACATGGAGCCGCAACGGTGAACTCATCAAAGACTCTGAAGATGTCAAGTAAGTCAACCGCAGCAGTAACAACAACTTGCCAAGCCAGTGCATTGCATCGATTAACTTTGTTTTGTTGTTTCTTTTTCTCTCTCTCTCTCTCTCTCCCTCTCCCACCATCCACCATTTGCATTTTCCAGTTACATTGATCATGGGAACGGTTTATTGTGTTTACGTCTGTTCGATGCCTTCGATTTGGACTCCGGCCTCTATACCTGCCACATTACCAGTCAAGATGGTGTTCAGTGCTCCACATCGACCAGCCTGAACATTGAACGCCGCGGAGAGCAGTCATCGATGGCCGAGATCGACAGCCTGACCATACTCAAGTCACCTTTACCTGTTCTAGTAACCGACACAACAACGCGAGCAACATTTTGTGCTCGTGTCTATCCCAGCGATGCCCGCGTTACATGGTATGTGTGCGGTCAGCCGGTCAATGAAAACCCCAATGATGATGATGGCGATGATTCATGCCAATTTACGGTGAGTTTCTTTTTTTTACGTTCCAGTTTATTTCTGGTTTGCAGCCAACTTTAATATGCCCTGCATATTGATGGGCTACAGAAATAGCCCGTACAAAGCCACTTCTTGGAATTTGTAGTAGTGACGACATTCCGCCATTTGTTATGGGGAAATCTGAAATATATTTTTTGTTGTCGTGATATGTGACGACATGTGAACGTCATTAATAATGGGTCACCCTATAAGTGGTAATTCCGATTGGGTAGAAGTATTTCTGTTGAAATGAGACACAATTATACCCAGAGAAGAAAAAAATCTCCAGCCCCGGCCGAAGGCCCCTTACTTACAAAAAGTATTGAATTTAGAAAACTTTGATTCGCGTTAGCCCGTGTGGGACATACCCAGAGGAGAAAATCTCAAGCCCCGGTCGAAGGCCGGCTATTTACAAAAAGTGTCAAATTTAGAAAACTTTGGTTCGCTTTAGCCTTTGTGGGACATACCCAGAGGAGAACATCTAAAGCCCCGACCGAAAGTCGGCTACTTACAACAACTGTTAAGTTTAAAAAAAAACTTTAGTTAGCGTAGCTGGTTGAAGAGATTATCTCTGGACCCGAAAAAGGTATTATCACAAATTGTAGCATTTTGGAAAGGTAAGAGTGTCAGGAATAATTTGGCGTCAATTTCGTTGACCCCCATAGTAGACCCTTTTTCGAATTTTCGAGGTTTTTATAAAAAATCCGGGTCCAAAAAATAAATTATTTAACTATAACTTTCGAACCGCTTAAAAATTACCCCATCATGTGACCACTTGTTGGATAGATATTTTCATAAGCTTTCAAACCTATTTATACCTATATTGTCTATATCGGGTAAGTGGATCCAGGTTCTGTCCGGGCTTTTAACCCGGACTTTTGGGTCAAAAATCGGGAGTCCCGGGTCTGTCCCCCAAGAAAAAAAAATAGTTTCCCGGAAGCAGGGTAAAAATAACTACCTCTGGAAAAAATTTCGAAAAAATCGAAGAGTTTTTACTAAATTAGAGTTTGTTAGGTTACCCTAGAATTTGTAGCAATTGTTGCGAACTGTTACTGAAAGTAGTCTGTTAACACAAAAGATCTGCGAAAGAAAGTGATCCGAGAGAACCAGTTTGACACAAATTGTTTTGATTTTGGCAAAACAGCTGATTCCTTGCAAGTTTTTGCAGGTATTCCGTTTGTTTATTTTTCACAGTTTTCTTGCAAAAGAAAATAAAACTACCTCACTCTCCCAGAATATGAAAAATTATTCAAAATTGTAAAAATTGTTTAAAAAAGCTTAACCTACCACCTCCAATTGACTTCATACATGGTAGATGAATACAGGTAGTCACAGCAGCAGCAGCTGGGACAATGAACTGTCAAACCAATTTTGAAATTGAAATTTTTGAATGAAAAATTATTAAAATTTGTAGAAATAGTTAAAAAAAGTGCATATTATAATAACCTCCGATTGGCGTCGTATAGGAAAACAAATACAAATCTACTTATTTTTGAAAAAACATTTAAAATTTTTTGACATATCAATGTTTCCGAGCGTTCTTCTGCCATGACGTCATATAGGAAAATATACACACACCTACTTTTTTCTGAGAAAAAAAAAAAACATTTAACATTTTTTGACACATCAATATTTCCAAGTGTTGATGCATCTACCTAAATTTTTCTAACATGGCCTACAACAATGTCAAGAATTTTAAAATATTTTTCAAATATAAGTATATTTCTATATGTTATACGACGTCAATCGGAAGTTATTATAATACGCATTTTTCAATTTTTTTTAAAAATTTTAATAATTTTTCATTAAACATTTTCAATTCCAAAATCGGTTTGACAGTTAATTGTCCCAGCAGTTGTGTCCATGCGACTACGTGTATTCTTCTACCATGGGCCTATACGTCAATTAATATCCACTATATTTATGAATACGTTTACGTAACGTATACGTTATGGAATTGACACTTGAAATCTATTAGATTTTAGTAGTCTAAACGTTCTTTAAGGCTTCAAAAAACTTGTCATATTTATATTTAGACGCCTTCTTGTGAAACCCTCTAGAAGTCTCCAGGGAAATTGTACACATTAATGTAGGGTATCCAATCGGAAGTTTTAGCTAATTGTTATTATAACTTAAACAACAAAACTGTCAATTCACGCTTCCTCACGTCGTAGTGTATTTGTCACACATAATTGTTTGTTTACAAGCGCCAAAAGACAAACCAAGTTAATCAAACCTTGAGTCATAGCGTTGCTAATAACACCGGAGCATCATAAACGCAAGCTCCGTCATGTCTTTTTTTTTTGAGTTGGTCCAACAAGATACACGTTACAACAAATCGACTAACAACAAATGTGTGAGAATAAATGATGAAATACGAGAAAGAGAGTGGAGGAGAGGGCGAGGGTAATGACGTTAAATGAAAACACTTAATTTAGCCAGCCAAGTGAATAAAACCACAAAGAGTTTATAAATAATAAGTGTGAATGGCATAATAGGTGTGTTTTTTATAAAGAGAATAAGTTTTTGAATATCCATAAATTGACAGGTAAAGTTTACAGAAAAGTGATTTTTAGGAGAAAAAAGGCCTATAGGTGAGAATACATAAAACGCTTTTTTGGTCGGCTTAAGTCATCGCCTGGCTTCTTCATAGAGGAACATAGGAGTTTTAGGTTAACTTAGTTCGATTTATGCCCTAAGCTCCTTTTCTTCTTCTTCTTTTCCGATGAAGCCAGCCCATGGCAGAAGAATACAGGTAGATGCATCAACGCTTGGGAGCATTGATATGTTAAAAAAAATTTAATGTTTTTTTTTCAAATAGAAGTAGATTTTTATATGTTTTCTTATACTACGTCAGTCGGAGGCTATTATAATTCGCGTTTTTCAGAAATTTTTTAGAAATTTAAATAATTTTTCATTTAACATTTTCAATTCCAAAATTGGTTTGACAGTTCATAGTCCCAGCAGCTGTGTCGACGCGTCTACCAATATTCTTCTACCATGAGCCAGCCAATGACTTAAGCCAGTCAAAATAGCGTTTTAAGTTTATTATGGATTTATTCAACCGGGTTTATAGAGTATTTACCCAAACAAAATCCAATGGAAATAACAGAATTTAATTGTTATACCCTCCACCATACATAATAGGAGGGTATATAAGGTTCGTCATTTCGTGTATAACTCACGGAAATAAAAATTTTAGATATACAAAGTATATATTCCTGACCAGCGTATAATTCTAAGACGATTTAACCCTGTCCGTCTATCCGCATGTTAACGCTAGAGTCAAAACGAATAAAGATAGGAAGCCAACATATCACAGATCAGTCTTTTATCTGCAGGCAGGTCAAATTCGAAGATGGACTATATCGGTCCTCGATATCGTATAGCCCCCATATAACGGTACCCCCGGTATTTTAATAATTGTAGCCAAATTTTTCAATGAAATTGTTCGAAAAATCCACAAAAGGAGTTCCTTCTATGTACTTTACCCCCTGGCATAGTATTGTCTGTATAGTTCCACGAAATTGTATAACCCTCAATTACGGTACATCCCGATATTCGGGTTTTTGATTTTTTTAGCTATATTTTTTCAATGGAATTGTCTACAAATCCATACTAGAAGTTCTTTCTATGAACTTTACCCCCTGGAAGAGAAAGGTCTATATAGGTACACGATATCGTATAGCCCACATACAAAGGTACTCCCGATATTCGATATTTCGACGATTTTAGGGACATTTTTCATCGGAGTTGTTTCAAATTACGTATTCAGAATTCGTAATGGGTACTACAGCCTATGACAAAAAAAAAATGTGTATGCAGGCCCACATCTTCGTATAGCCTCCATATAACGGTACCTCCCAATATTCGGTATTTTAATCATTTTAGCGACATTATTCACCAGAGCTTTTTTAAATTTCGTATTTGAAGTTTTTAATAGGTACTACAGTCTATGACAGAATTTTGTCTATGCAGGTTAAGGTCTTCGTAAAAGCTCCATATATTAGTACCTCCCTATATTTGGTATTATTACGATTTTAGGGACATTATTTACCGGAGTTGTTTCAAATTTCGTATTCAGAGTTCGTAATAGGAACTACAATCTATGACAGAAAATTGTGTATGCTGGCCCACTTCTTCGTATAGCCTCCATATACCCGAACGCCCCGATATACGGTATTTTGACGATTTTAGGGAGATTATTCACCGGAGTTGTTAGAAATTTTGTATTTGAAATTTCTAATAGTTACTACAGACTGTGCCAGAAAATTGTCTATGTAGGTCCAGGTCTTCGTATAATGCCCATATAACGGCACCTTCCTATATTCGGTATTTTGACGATTTTAGGTACAATATTCACCGGATTTTTTTTTTTCAAATTTGGTGTTTGAAGTTCGTAATGGGTACTACAGCCTGTGACAGAAAGGTAGGACCAGGTCTTTGTATAGCCCCGATATAAATGCACCTCCCTATGTTGCCTATACAGGTCCACGTCTTCGTGTAGGCACTAAAGTAACGGCTATAGTCCGTATTTTTAAGATTTCAACAGAATTTTTAATGTTTTTTTTTTTTTTTTTTTGAAATTCCAAATTCGTTCCAACTGGTGGAGGGTATTCAATGTTCGGTACGACCGAATTTAGCGCAATTAAGCTGGCTTCTTCGGAAATGAACAAAGGAGCCTAGGGCAAAAATCGAACTAAGTTAACCCAAAACTCCTTTGTTCCTCTACGAAGGAGCCAGCCAATGACTTGAGTCAACCAAATAAGCGCTTTATGTATTCCCATTTGTTTTTTTTATTTTTATAAAAATTTAATTTTTTTGGGGTAATTTGGGCTCTCTGATGTCAAATATTTACTCAGAAAAATTTTCCGATTTTTTGTTTTCATTTTTTTATTTTTTTACTTATTTATTTATTTATTCATTTTTTTTTTCTTTCTTTGAAAAATAGTGTTTTACTCGCAAAATCGACGGAGTAGCGAAATGTT